ACACAAAAAGATCTGAACAAGAAGCCTTGGTTTTGGTTGTGTGTTTTTTTTTTTTTTTTTCTCTCTCTGAAAAGGCAAGAAGTGACCCAGTTTTGTGACTAATCTGTATGCAGAGTAAATACTGTTCTTCTGACATAGTGAAATCTGATTGGGGCACTTTCCATACATGAGGTTGCTACGGGATCAGGTTTCTTGGGCCCTGGGTAATACATGTTACCATGAACCGAAGGGCAGAGCCCTGTGCTCGGCACCCTCTGCCTCCCACCCCTCCACTGGGCTCTGATAATCTCTGGGGCGCAGAAGAAAATGCCATTGTCCAGAGGCTCAGAGGTCTGGCTACCAGCGCTCCTGTGGAGACTTTCTCTTCTAACCTGTTTTAGGATTGCGCCTGTTTATCCTTGAATCCGAAGTTTTAGCAAGCCTTGCAGTTTTGTTACTTGGCTAGCTCTGCTATATGACTCAACCCTTTTGTAACAGGAGGTAAAGTAAGATAAATACCATTGAGACAAGGGGAGCTAGTTCACACACAGATCAGATTATCGCCTTCCATTCAGGATGCTATAGTTAAGGTTGTGTCAGGGTTTCCATTCTAAACTTATCTTGGCTATTCTATGGGATTTTAAGGGTGCTGGGGGGGGGTGTCTGTTTTTTTCCTGGCTGCTGGAACAAAGGCAGTGCTCTGGCCAGCTGCTTCTGTGAAGAAACCTCCAGGGCGGGAAAGCTGAGTCTAAATGGGTTGATTGCCTCCTCTTGCCTCTTTGCAGCCATCATTTAACAAGGCATGGGAGGACTATAAGGATGGCCAAAGATACACAGAGGCTTCAAGCCAAATGTGTATTTCTATTCAGACAAGATCTTCCCATGTAGCATTCAAAAGAATCAGAGCTGGGTACCTCACGCATCATGTTGCCCTCCATTTCCCCCACATCTGCGTCCCCCCAGCAGCAGAAGTGCTGGGAAGCAGCTTGCAGGGTGTGGGTGTTTTATTCCAGGCTGTGCTTCTGCCTCCTGGTGGCTTTGAAGGTCTGCAGAGTTGTCGTGGTCCTGTCTCTGGGGTGATGCAAGGAGGTTTTTTATTTGGGTGATGTTGCTCCCCGAGTCTCAACCGTTCCAGTCCCAGGTGGAGCTGTGTTGAGAGGTGTTGGCTCCTGGATTTTCCGGTGCTCTCTACAGTTTCATTTACCAATGAGTGCAAGAAAATGCAGTGCTTAGGTCTGACCCAGAAAGGAGGGTGCCTTTTTCTCCATGACAACAGTAAACCGTCACTAATTTTCAGCGTGCTTATTTGCATATCTAATTGTTACTGCAAATGCTGCTTGCCCTCAGTACAGCTATAGAGCAGAGCTGTCTCCATCTTTCCCTGTGCCAACCTGGTCCTCTCACATTGGCCAGGTTTGCAGGGATATGTGACCATTTTTTTGTCTAACCTCAGGCTCGTGGGGCAGGCAGTGAAGCTTCAGACTCTCTGTGGGTGAGATCTCAGCAGCTAGCGTTACATACTTACTGTCCAGCAAAGGACAGGCAAGTATTGATGGGTTTAGGACATGCCTGGTACCAGCTATCTGTATGAGTTGAGGAAGTTTCTGCCTTGATTCCCTGTCTTTAACTGGGGACCATAATACTACCTGGGGTGGGGATATCACAAGGATTGACTATGGTCCAGCACTTTGTTATATATGTTAGTAGTGAGAGGAGTATTATTACCTGTGCTTCCCCTTATGCCACCTTTTTCTGAATGTTGACAAGCTGTTTGCTTGCTACAGAATTTGTCTTCCCATTCCCAGATGGTGTAATATCATCTCTCTCTCATCCTCCCCTTCCATCTCAGTTATTCTCCCTAGTCCTCACCTGCTCCAGGCTGAAAACTCCTTACCATCAGCCTTCTCAGCAAGGCCTTTCCTCTAGGCCTTCCCATTCGTGAGGTACTGTATTCCAGGTCTGTCTCAGACATGGGTTTACAAGCCTTTGGTTTTCATGCTTCTGGGAAGGGCACACATTCAGTCACAGTGGGTGGTCTGTACAGGCAAACTCCTGTGTCTGGGATCTTTGGACGGGATCTGGCTGCTTCTGCTTTGGGGTTACCTGTCGCTTAATGCAGATGCTGTGACCTGAGCAGCTACGCACATCTGCAAACCCAGCTGGACCCTGTAGTGGCTGTGCTGGGTTTGCAGCGTTTGTTACCAGTAGTGATTTGGACAGTGAGTTTCATACTGGAAACATTTCTTTTCAAACTCCACAGCAGTGTTCTCTGAGTGAAGGGGCTAGCTTCCTGGTTAGATTTTCATCACGTTTTATTTGCTGTGTCGTTAAGTTTGTCAGTGTCTCCAGACTTAACTGTTGCAAAGATAAAAGCCCTGATACTAATGGCTTTGTGGCTGGCAGGTGCTGATTTTCCCTATTATTTGAGATTATTCCTTTTGAATCTCACTGTTATCTCCATTATTGACATACACTGTAATTTTCAAAATTGTCCACTATTAGGTCTCTGACTCTGGTTTTTCCCCTCTTGTCTGCGAACAGCAGCCTTCTTATTTTCAGTTAAATTTTGTTTTAACCCATTCAACAATTACACAGGGTTTCTTTCAGGAGAATAGTAGAAAAACAAAATGCTCCCCTCCTCCTTTTTGAATATGCGATTTAACTTGGACTCGGTGTTGCAGGGCTGATGATGTTTCAATGCATCAGGATTAAGAACCTTGTACCCCTTTGATGTTGAAAAGTAACTAAAATTATATTTAAAAAATTAAAGCAATGCTTTAAACTTTACTCCTTTTCTTAGTCTTGAAATATTTCATGAACAATCCAGTGGTTCTGCTAAGGAGCTGTTTGATCTGGTACCAAATATTAACTGTAATATTTAAGTGACTTCTCTTTCTGCTTTGATTTGTGGGTTTTTTTTTTTTTTATCTGAAGAGACTGAAGTGACATTTATATAAGGGGCTTTGTTTGATTTCTAAAAGATTAAAGTTAATTTATAGTTATTATCTGTCATTAATCCTCATGTTGGAAAATTGTTTGTTTTTTTTATTTAGTGGGTATGTGTTTCAGTTTATCTCTGCCCAGGATGAGTCATAGCTTGCATTTAAACAAGAAACCAGTATTCTGCTTCTCATCTGCTGCGAGGTGTAACTGAAACAATACTTTTTAGTCCTTTAACGTGCCTACGAAAAAACTGATTCGTAAGCAACACCCCATCATTTTCTGAAAGAAAACATGATAAAGCAAGTGACTGGAAGATGAACTTTGCTGGTGTAATATTTTCTCAAAAAAGGATAATAAATACAATTCATGCTTACGTAAAATGGTGTGTGTTATACAGATAGCATAATTAACTGTTGTCTGTGAACGTTTCAGAAGCAGGCTGGTTTTGGAAGGATGTGGTCAGTGTGGTATCAAGAGAAGGTACACACGCTGCGATGACTTTCCTGCTGCTCTGTGAAGTGGCAGTTCTGGTAGACCAACATGGTGGTTGGGTCTGTCAGGAAAGGTCCCTCTCCTCGTAGAACAAGAAAGATGTTTGTAAAGATACTGGTCAGATTTTTTTTAAAAAACAAACAGACATATTTTTCTGTATATCCTAGATTGATCCATTTGGTTTTGGTGATGATTGCATTATAATACAGCAGAAGGAAGGAAAGCAAAGCTGAGTAATTCGGTAAAGAATGAGTTATTAGGGCTGATTTTTCTTACAGTAGCAATAATTTAGTTCAAACAAAAGATAGATCCAAAGACGGAAAGAGGCCTTGGGAGAATCACTGAAACTAGAATTTTCTGAAGATCTTATGGAATTGGTGGATCTGCAAAAATGCTTCATTTAAAATGGAAAAGGACAAAGTTTGAAGGAGACAGAACTTCTTCTAAACCATGTTGCTAAAGAGTTGTGTTTAGTGTAAAAGTACAGAGTGAAGGGATGTAAGATCCTTCCTCCCTGGTATCTTTTGAGATGATCAGAAACAAAGTAAAGAAGACAAACACGTAGCAGTGATCAAGTGCTGTGTTTTTTAGCATTTCTGACTCTTACCAGGATCCCCCATCTATCTTCTGTGATTTCCGACCCATTCTCTCTTTCTGTTTATTGCAGAGTGTTTCTTCAAAAGGGTTTCTTACGCAGAGCTGACTGTTAGTGCTCGGTTGCGTATTTGAGGCAGCAGATGAAATAAAGGAAAAACCCTACTGAAGGTTTAGGAGAAACCCGTGACCTGGGTCAGCGTGCGCTGAGACGTGGGGCCTTCCGAGGCTCCGCAGCGACTGGGCGGTTTGGTTCTGTTTCTCTAGAACAGGGGCTTGAGCGTGTCTGTTAGCAAAATGCAGGAGAAGAAGGAGGGGAAAGCGTTTAACATAGGACATTTAAATAGTTCTGGTATTAAATAGTGAAGACATGCTGTCAAGGCTGGGCAAGGTATAGGGAAGGGAAATGAAAGTATTGTGAATCCTGACTACTCTGAATAGACAGGAATGATCGTACTTTTGTGGTGCTATGTATACTTGCCAAGGCAATCCAATCAGTGTTTGTCTTGAACCAACTAATCAATGCGGTGTTGAGTTCAGTGCTATTTATCAGGAGAGCTGAAAGAAACTAATCCAGTAAATTTCATTTGTTCTCTGGAGTGGGCTTTGTTTTCATGTTAACTTCATGTAGCAGATGTTGACAGTACATATTGTTTTCGTCATTAATAAAACTTGGAACCTGTGATGTTCCCTGCAGCAGGCAAACCATGTCCAACACAGCTGAGCATGCATCTTTCT